TGCATTTGTTGCAATGCATTTTTTAGTTGCTGTTTTTCAGCTTTTTCCTGTATCCAAGCATTGTACAATGCCTGTTCATTCTGACTTCTAGCTTGATTTTCATGAAATAAGGCCTGATATTGTTGGGCTAGGAGATTTTCTCCCACTTCCATTGTTTTCATAATATTTGTTTGAGTTACCTGAAAAAGATCCTGTTTTTTTTGCTCCAAAAGTACTTTGGCAGGTGTCGATTCTGTTTTATTATTTTTTTCTACACATTGTAAAACTATTTTTAATAACACATTATTATTTTTATTTTTGTTCTTAAACATTACGTGTAAATAATTTAAATTAAATAAAAAAATCCCATCCAACGGTGGGATTCGAACCTGGGACCCTTGGATCCACAGGCAGAGACTCTACCACTGAACCACCCACCCCCAAGCACAGTATTAATTTAAAATAAAATAGGTTATTATTTACAAAAAAAGTTGATGGTGGCCCTGGAAAGACGAAACGTTTTACACCAAATTTAAATATCGGTAAGTGTGACAAATCAGAATTTTAAACTTTTTCCCCATTTAACTGACCCTGTATCGGTTTAGGAGATCCCTGCAGCGGGCCTTTAAATCCAACAAAAGTAAAAATAACTTACAAAAAAATTACTGGTACATCCTCTAAATGTATGAAAAAGGAACTATTTTGTTCAGAATCCATGTCTGATGTCACTTAATGGACATTTTTCTAATTCTCCTTCAGTAGCTGTCTGGTGAAGAATATATTCACAAATCTTTTTTTCAGAAAAAGTCGTTTTCCAAGCGGTTTTATTTATTTATCCAAATTTTCATCATCAAGTAAGTCTAAGAAAATGTATATTGTGATGCCTTCAGCTAGAAAGTTTAAAGAAAGATGTCTCTTATTTAATTTAATTTACATTATTCAAAAATAATCAAGAAAAATTAAGCTATTTTTCTTAGGTATATTATCTCAAAGAGAAGTCTAGAAAACCTAAATTTGAGAAAAAATTATCTTTTTCTCTACACTACCTCTGCTCAAGGCTAGGTATCTACATGTCTATTATAAGGGGTGTCCCAACACTCCTGGGATAAGCAAATATTTTAAAATTTAAAACATTTAAGAGATTTCCAATTTAATCTTTCTGACACCGTTTTCATTATTGCAAAAGATGGATTTGTGCATCCAGAAAAACGCAGTGCAAAGCTTTTGTTAAAACAAAATTGGAGTGTCTTGAAGTAACAGAATCTTGTTTAAACCACAACCTTGGTAAATTATAAGAAGAACTTTCAAATAGGCAGACTCTAAGCAATGCTGTAAAAATTAAAGCAGTAGAAGATATTTCAGCAAATCAATGAGCTTGATTAGACAGGAGGTAAGAGAATCCCACTGTAAAACTATTACCACTCATGACGTTGCAAAGATGAGAAAAAAATATGTATACCGTTAGGTCTAAAATTGCACCAAAACTTCATAGTTTATTAAATTATGTTACATTAAAAACTAATAGGGACGAATATTTTCTTCTTAAAAATGATATAGTAATTTTCATGTAAAACAAATCTTTATGCTGTAGAAAAAATAAGTGAATTTTATGTTGGCGGCACTTTCAATTATTGCCCTAATTTTTTTATAATTTTTTACCATTCATGGTTTTAAAAATAATCATTATTTTCCTCTCGTTTTCTTTCTTTTGAAAAATATAAATACAGTGTCATATAAATTAGCTTTACAATATTTAAAAGAAATGTACCTATTTATAACAGGTCACGACTTTTTCCAAAAACTATAACTTCAGATTTTGAATTATCAATATAAAAAGCAATTCGCGAAATTTTTCCAAAAACAACAATTAAGAGTTGTTTATTTTACCTAGTTCAAAGTTGGTATAGAAAAATTCAAACTTAGGACTTTCCACCAAGTATCAGTTAAAAGATAATTTAGAAACTTATATTTTAGGTTTACCATTCCTTAAAGCAGAAGACGTTGGTGATTGCTTTGTTCTTAATCTCGTTTTAATTCAACTAGATGATGAAAGGGTGATTAAATTTAATGACTATTTAGTTGAAACTTGGATAGATGAAATGTCTACCTTTCCTCCTAACATTTGAGCTGAAAACTCTTCTTCTTTAAAAATGACAACAAACGCATGCGAATCTTTTCATTCACGTTATAATGCTTTATTTTATAATGCACACCCAAATTTTAAGCAGTTTATAAAAGTTCTTCTAGATTTGCAAATAGATACCTATATTCAGCTTCAAAGTATTGATACCGTAGTCAAAGCTCCCGTGCAAAGGAAAAACCTCGTAACTCACTTTTTGACCAAGTTTAGTTTTCTATTGCATGCTAATCTGCTATTTCCACTGGATAGGTATCAAAAAACTTGTGATATATTCAAAAATAAGCACGAAATCACTTCTGGAATTTTTTAGAAAGTGTAAAATATGACAAGTTTACAACGGTTAAATATAGCAACACAACATTCCAAAGGAAGAAACCAGCATAATATATATTTTGCTAGTGTAATTTGTACGAGTTTATTGTTTTTTTGCTAGGGAAAAAGATAACAAAACTACTGACTTATTCTGTTGGTTAACGCTAATATATATCTTCTATATTTCAACGGAAAACTAATCTAGTTATCCTACTATTTTATTATCAAAACACATTAGATTCATTTAAAATGGAAAAACTTAGCAATAATATTTTGCTAGGTATTTCCAGTGGCGGCTCGTGGGCACTAGCGGCACTGGAAAGAAATCCCGGGATTCGTTTTTCTCTTAGGAAAACAAGTTCTCCGCTTAATGAAAATAAAAAATATATTTCATAACAAATTAAATATTACAAAATTGAAGACTAACTACTAGATATCGCTGCAGTTGTATACTATTTCTTATAATTGAAGTCTATTCTTCCGGATTTTTGGCTAGCGAAGTGATCTATGATCAGATTATTAAAATTTGGAATGGACCGAATAAGTTTTTTTCGATATATAACATGGCTAACGCGCACAATCTATCTTGGCACATAGTGTTTCTTAAAAATGTCGAAAAACATCTTTCACTCTCCACTGTGGTCATAGGAATTGTACACAGGATAGTTAGCAGCTCCACAGATTCCGAAAATGTAATTGTCAAATTGTTCTCAAAAAACATTTTTAATAACGGTACGGCCCCATTGTGTTGCACAAAGTCATCTCGGGTGTAAAGTATGGACAGTTCGTTTTTGAATTTGAAGCTGTTTACGTTTGGAAATAAACTACACACCGTTTTAATGTCCTTATTTGGAAAACAACCTTGATAGTCTTGTTTTATTGTTTTAATGTTTTATTTTTGTGTAATTCCTACTAACTAAAATTAGAAATATAAGTAAATTATATTTTTTTTTTCCAATTTTTTTTAAATTATATTTGTTAAATTTTCTTTTTTTTGTTTGATTTTTTTTTTTCCTTTTTTTTTTGTTTTTTTTTTTTTCTCCCCAGAGGAAACATAAACAGGGACATATGTTACGCCTAACGGTCTTTCTAGTTCTTGTGGGTCTTGTTGTGTTTGCTATTCTTCATGAATTAGCGTGTCTATATTATTTCTAATATTTTGAATAGCTGCTGCAAAATTTGATATGTTTGTCTTAACCTTGAGAGCATCGAGCTGTCTACTCTGCAGTTGATCAAAAAGTATATCGCAATTTGGCATTATTTTGCTGAAGAAAAATAACCAGAAACTAAAATCTGTCTTTCAAAATTTATCAACCCTTTAGTCTGATTAATAGTTTTTTTATCGAATTCTGTGTTCATAATTTCTTTGAGACATTTAATCAAATCCTCTTTATAAACATAAATAGTATTGACACACTTCGATGTAAAATTCCATCGTGTATAGGAGCATTTTAAAGCATACGACTGTGAAGAAAAGGTGTTTGGCAATTTAAAATCTCCCAGCAAAAAATTTCTTTTTTATATTTTCAAATTAGAAAAAATATTTATATCTCTATTTGATAGTTTGTCAACTAAGCCTGGAACTTCCAACGCATACCTTTTTGAGATGAGCAAAATAGAATTTGGTCATTCTTGCCAACAATTTGCGAAAATGTACACCATTAAATTTTTTATACTCTTAAATATGCAAACAGAGATTTGAAATTCTCGAAAAAGTCAGACAAAACCAAACGAAAAATTAAAATTTTGTCCCATTTATAAATATTATTGATTTTTTTCATCATATTTTTGACTGTTTTATAAAAAAAAGTTATTTTTCTTTGTAGTTTTATTTCTTAACTATTCCAAAGGTCCAACTAACGTTTTTTCGTAATCACAATAAATAAATTATTATCATGGTCCAACAAACGCGCACCTTACATTCGTATCTGGTCTAGCTAATCTGTGCCACGGTACCAGCAGGTCTCGATGAGGAAGGGCAGCGCCCTGCTTGTGACGTATAATCCATCGCATGTGTTCATCTCTTGCTAAGCGATATTGCCGTTGTCCTTGTTTTTCGCATCATAATGAGAGGAAAACAACAGAGGCACACATTTACTGTGCCCTGTGCCTACTTAATTTCGGAATTCTCGGAATGTTGCTCAACGCCCAGTCGCCCAGTGTCGTGTCAACGCGGTTTGCGCTAAATATTAGATAAAATAATAATAGGCATTGAGGAAAATATAAAATATGTAAGTTATTTTTTTTGGTTTATTATACTAGGGCACGTGCCCAAGTGTCTTTAAGGGCAAACCGTCACTGGGTATTTCCAGTGCATTATAACATTTTTATGAATTTACGCCCAATAATACTATGTTTTTTCAGTGTAAATAAGTCTCTGTAAGGTTTTCGCGGGAAAATTAACAGCTCACGTGCTAGGTTATTCCTCGGAAATAAATATACAAATCATCAAACAGTCAGTCAGTTGAGTTTGAACTTTTCGACCGTAAAGTAGTTAATTTTTTTTTTTTTTGGAACTTAAATCGGGTATCGGGTAATACAAAGATAAACAAGAATAAAAAGTGTGAAAATGTCAAAAAGGGGAAGGTATTTAGTTAAGTTGGCTATGGAATGTAAAATAGAGACTTTTAATGATAACCAAAATGCTTATGGGGAAACCAATAATAGGTAAGTTACAAATTAATATATTTCTAATTTTAGTTTTATAAATATAATAATACCCATAAGTGTTTATGTGGCCATGTATTTCTTACAGTAACGTTAATTATCTGCATACAGTTTGAGTAAAATTTAGTTTATTTCTTAATCTGCATTCTATAAAAAAAATGGTAGAGTGTCTAAGTGCCTAGTAGTTAGTTTCCTTAGTCACACAAATGATAACTGAAAAGTAATACTGCTAGTAAAATAAACTCTATTTATTTTTGATTGCCTGTTAATAAGCTATTTTTAGAGCATGGGAATTTTATTTACCTTTATAAACATTTTAGTATCGAAAAATATGGTGATGCGACAGATCGAAAAATGATCCCTGTAGAAATGGGACAGTCCAATGAAATTATTGATGAAAATGCGACCAATAAAACAAATAGTAAAAAACCAGTTTCACTAAAAGTTTTCACAGAGTTACAACCACTTCGTGAAGGTAATGCGACAGATCGAAAAATGATTCCTGTAGAAATGCGACAGTCCAATGAAATTATTGATGAAATTGCGACCAATGAAACAAATAGTAAAAAACCAGTTTTACCAAAAGTTTTCACAGAGTTACAACCACTTTGTGAAACTAATGCGACAGATTGAAAAATGATTCCTGTAGAAATGCGGCAGTCCAATGAAATTATTGATGAAATTGCGACCAATGAAACAAATAGTAAAAAACCAGTTTTACCAAAAGTTTTCACAGAGTTACAACCACTTTGTGAATGTAATGCGACAGATCGAAAAATTATCCCTGTAGAAATGCGACAGTCCAATGAAATTATTGATGAAAATGCGACCAATGAAACAAATTGTGAAAAACCAGTTTTACCAAAAGTTTTTACAGAATTACAACCACTTCGTGAAGGTAATTCTAAATTATTAAAAAATATTAAAAAACCTATAAATAAAATGTTGCGTACTTTATAGAGTATCTGAAAGATAGCCCTGTTAATGATTTCGATGTGGATCCAGATTATGAACCATCAGATGAAGAGCAAAAGAATACCAAAAAAATTGACATTTCTAGTCCGAAAAAGAAAAATTTCAAGTGAGATATTTATCTATACCTATATATCATCATTAGGGATTTCTTAGCACAATACAAATTTAACCAAGCTTCCTAAAACTGGGGGTAGTATGTATCCTTTATTAAACTTTTTTAAAAACTATACGCCTATTATATTATAAGTATTTTAAAGACACTACTAAATTTAAATACTTGTCTCTATAGTCTAAACCAACAAAAGGTAATACACCGATATAATGAACCATTTTGATTTTTTTTTAGGTGCTGAAAGCAATTATAAATTAACTGATGATGAAGATGAGAATAAAAATAAAAAATCGGTAGTTACACAGGTAAAAAAAAGAATTAGAACTGAATCAGAAAAAAGGAAAATGAATTTGTAAAAATATCAGTTACTTCCAGAATGTAATTGCAAGAAAAGATACTTTGATTTTTTTTTAATGATGAGCGAAAGAGCATTTGCGAGTCGTTTTGGCGATTAAGCTTTGGAGAAAGACGACAATATTTAAATGCCAACGTGAAAAATAATATTGTTCAACAAAGGCGGACAGGCTGTAATAATAAAAGACAGTGGTCTCTTACCTACAGTATGATAAAAGTTAACGAAGGCACCGAAAAAAAGGTTTGTAAAAATATGTTTTTATATACCCATGGACTTAAAACAGATGGTATGATCACAGAACTTAAGCGTCACCAAAATAAATCTAAAGGATTACAAATTGCCAAGGATGGGAAAGAAAAGGGAAGTCCGCCCAATAAGACGGATGGATTAATATTTAAAGATCACATTCATTCATTTAACCCACAAGTATCCCATTACAAATTTGTGCATGCTCCAAACAGGCGATATCTATCTTCAGATATAAGTATAACAGATATGTGGAAAGATTTCTGTGAAACAATAGAAAATGTGTCCTACGGAAAGTACCGACACGAAGTTTATTTAGAAAATATTGGGTTTAATCAACCCAATCAAGATGACTGTAACGTATGTATTAACATGCAAAAGTTTGTAATAATTCGAGAAGTGTAAATTGCAATGAAGCGTGTTCTTCTTGTATTGGTTTTGATGTACATCATGAACTCTATAAACAAGCAAGAGCGGCATATCAAGAAGACCGCGACAAAATTGCCAAGAAAAGTCACATGATGCCCTACATAAGCCCCTTAAAAATATTTATGTATTATGGCACGAGGCCATAAGAGGAATGCAGAAGATGTAGCTTCCACTTATTATGCTATTATTAAAAGGACAACTGCTCATATTAAGCATTATACCTTTTGGTGTGACAACTTCAGTGCTCAAAATAAAAATTGGAAACTGTATGTTGCTTTGTGCACAGTTAACAATGCGGATTAAGGCCCAGAAACTGTGACTGACAAGTACTTTGAAGCGGGTCATTTATTTATGAAAGCAGATGTTGTGCATGGTTAAATTGGGAAAGCAATGAAAAAAAAAATCTAATGTTTATGACATTCATGACCTAAATGAAATTATACTTAAAACATCAAGACTCTTTTGCTGAATTTTGAGGACTTTCACGAATTTAAAGAAGGTAGTAGACAAAGACGATCAAAAGATAGCTCGGAAAATTTACCTATGTTAAACAACATTAAAGTTGTTCAGTTACAAAAAATTCAAAATCTATGTTTTATAAAACTAAACATACAGACAATGAATTTTTAAACCTAGATTTTTTAAGATCCAAATATACTATGTCAATACCGGAGATTAAAAAAAAAAATAACCGGTGCATAAACCCTGAAAAAAAAAAAACAGAAAATTCTATATGATTTGGTTCCATCTATGCCTCCCATTAAAAGATTATTCTGGGAGCAATTGCCAACGTCCGGGAAATAAACTGATCTTTTATTAAACCAGTATTAAACGCATATATTTTAATTTGTTCTCCACTTTCGTTTTCATGTATTTCATTAAATGATTAAAATAGACATACCTACTAAACCAATTTTTTGATATTTTTTTTAAAAACATATTTTTCAGTATTTTGTTAGACTAGCCTAATGTCATTTATCTTCAATAAAACTACTTTAGTAAATTACAATTTGTTTTATTTATCAGATTAGTTCGATCCTTTCTTATTGTGACATCTTTCATAATTTGACTTTCAGCTCCTTAATTTGTTAGTAATAGCCCAAGAGCCCACTGCACATTTTTACCGTCATCTGATAACGAACTGAAATATACCCCAATAGCTTGGAAAAATATTATACTTTACCAAATGGCACCTGTGCCAATCCCAATCCTGAGCAAAGTGGCTTAAAAAAATTATTTTATATTAAAATAATTATTTTATATTAAAAGACTTAAAAAAACATAAGGCATGCCAGCGCTAATTTTTTTTGTCCTTAAAGTTCTCCAGAAAATTACATTCAAATGTATCTTTATATACAGGGTGTTTCAAAAAGATTGGTCATAAATTATACCACATATTCTTGGCTCAAAAATAGGTCGATTCATATTACATTTTAAAATAAACCAAACGAAAAGAGCACAAAATTGAGTCTGATCTATTTTTACGACATATTTTATCGACATGTCAGATTATGAGTAACTGATAAAATTTAAATATTTTATCCTAAAAAAATCTGGGCATGTCTCGACATGTCAGATTATAAGTAACTGATAAAATTTAAATATTTTATCCTAAGAAAGTCTGGGCATTTTATTTTTAACACAATGAAAGCATCATTTTACAAAAAATGTTCATATTTTTTGTCTTTTGGGTGAAAAATTGGCAGGCCTGGCGAGTACTATTTGGGAGAAAATGGCATCCAAGATGGAAGCCTATGTTGCGACCCCCTTAGATATACAGCCCTGAATCATGCAATTTAAATATGGGTCAGCAATCTCTATAACGATATATTGGTCATATTGCCGAAAATGCGCCCTGTTTTCAGATCTACGACGTTTAATAGCTATCGAGGACCTAAATGCATTTTTAATGGATCAATAGCGTTAGTTACTCTATAAATATTTAACGATCGTTCATGTAATTGGCTGTAAGATACCTAAAATTTAAACAAGAATTTACCTAGTATTTTTATCAAAATAGTAAACCGTCTATAGCTTTGCGTAGGAAAACGTATAAATATCTCAAACCAGTTCTAATAACTCGTTAAAAATTATTAAATTCATTATCATCTCAAAAATCTATATAATCAGGTGTACGCCTTTTTGAAAACTTCTTAATAATAATTCTCTCTAATTGTCACTATTACTGTCTGAAAATATATTAATATCCATACTGTTTATACTACACATCTTTTCTGGTTTAAACAAATTTGATCAAAATTAAGATTATAAACTCGTTGGTAACCGCCTGGCAGATGGTTGTTTAACCTTCTGTTATGAAGTTATAACTGCTAGGTACACGATGACAACATATTCATCTAACGATGTTTTAAATTACGAAGATATTGTTACCATCTACTTTAACAGCCGATTGATATAGTGGCCCTTAGGAAACCCTAAACCTTTACATGATTATTTATATGTATTCCTTTATTCTCCAGGCATGCATTCTTTACATAAAAACTTTTTAAAACACCGATTTGTTCAAAATTTCTGACCCACGTGACCATATTTTATGATTCAATACATTTATATTTATTTTTGGTTTGTCAGACAAAAGAAATTCCATGTTTGCAAAATATAAATGGAAAGCTTCCTTCGAGAACTGTAAACAACGATGTACTGACAGATGGAAAAGAAGGGAAACTCACTTAGCGGCTATCAGAGTCAGTGGTGGAGAAACAGCCAAGAGGCCCTTTGTGCGTAGTTTGTTACAATTGTGTCTACATTCAAATATAATGATTTCTCAAAAAAAAAAAAAAAAAATACATTATAAAATGTATTTTCTTAGGAATATGTATATTATATTATACATGTCAGGTATTAAGTTTGCCTTATTGTATAACTATTAGTATGCATAGTTGATCAAATACTGATTCATCTGTACACGGTTTTTTGGCTTACTTCGGAAAAATTTAAGAAAATTAATAATTAATTACTAATCGTGGATAGCTATTTTTGTGCGATGTTAAGACGAAGAAAATGTTTCCCTTTAACGATATATATCAAGATATGTTTGAATATGTTATTTTCTGGAAAACTTTAAGGGCCAACAAAATCAGCGCTTTCATGCCTTATGTGATTTTTTATTATAAAATTATTTTTTTTAACCGCTTTGCTCAAGATTACCACAGGTGCCATTTGGTAAAGTAAAATGTTGTTACATGCTTTTGGGGTAAACTTCATTTTGTTATCAGATGACGGTAAAAATTGGCAGTGGGCTCTTTACTTCGGCTATTATTATTTGATTCTATAAGCGCCAGGGATACAAATCCGAGTTGCACAATGTATAAACTGGAACATTGAGATCAAAAGTGCCGAAGCAGAGTGAGCGAACTGATTCCTTAGCTATAAACTGTGGCTTGGCTATGCCTGTCGAGTATCAAGTTGTCAACTGTGATGTGTAAATTGCTCTTAAATGTCAAATTATTTAAAAATGTTTGTATGCTTCTTTTGATATTTATTGCAAATGATTTGTAGTGCATCTTAATTTAGGCTTTCCATAAATATAGGTACAGCTAGACATAATGAAAATTTTAAAATTTATTCTGGGGAACAGCAAAAAGAGAAAAGAATATAGACCTCTATAGAATGTCAAGTACTGATGTCAAAGAAGTATATTACCGGGCCGCTGGATGACGGTGTACCTATAAATAATTCAGTTATCGATCATGGTAGTCAAGCACTTCATGAATGGTTGACCCGAGACTATAAGTTCTCGCAAGCTTATCTAGGGAGTGGAATAAATGAGGAATTAATAAATCGAAATAAGTATGGTATCCAAATGGTGGTAAAATTAGCCAATGAAGGCGGGGAGTCAAAACAATCAAGAGTAGTTTAAATGGAAGTCTAAAAGGATGAAAAAAGACGTTAACTCTCGTCGTAGTTCTATACAGGCTGTCCCATTAGTGCATAATTGCTTGATATTTCAATTTATATTATATACACATATTTTGAATAAAAGTTATGTGGATTTATAAAAAATATAATTTAAAAACATTTTTGGATATACAGGATATTACACTTTTGCTTGTAAAGTAAAAATGTTTTAAAATGGATCACCCTGTGTTTTATTTCAGTTTTAGAATGGCATGGTAATACTGTATTTATCACCAGAATATTTTTCAACTGATAAGAAGCAAGCTGTGATGACAGAATTGGTTCATTTTATACAACGTTTTATTTATACATACACGGGGTGTCCCATCAGTGGGTAATTGATCGATAGATATTTTTTTATTGGAGGTATGAAGAAATGTTTAATATAAAAGTTGTTAGACCATATTTTACAATTATTCTTAAATTTACATTGTAGTCTATAAATAAGGGGCAAACCAAACAGATAGTTTTTTAAACCCAATACCCTGTAGGTAATTGCGCCTTACAGATTTGGTTGTTTTCACATCGTTTTATAATTTTAATAGACTAAAGGTTCCTAAAAAAGTTTAACATTTTCATTTATTTGCTGTGATGCATACAGGGTGTGTATAAACTTGAGTTTACAATATTCTCAATTTTTTCAAATATATCCTGTATGTTATTCCACCAATTTAAAAATTAAGAAAAATTTTTCTACCCATATGTTAATAGTATTAGAAAAAACAATTGTAAAATACTTCATATGATTCTCTCATTTTAACTTAGTATTATAAAACAGAAATATATAATAAGCTTATGGTATACCGCAGTCATAAAATCCAATTACTACACACACAATTTATAAATTTATTTCTTTACTTTTTTTATTTTGTTTGGCATTCTATTCCCAAACCAATTTTTTCTCAAGATTTTGACGGCTTTACCACGAAAATTGATATAATTTTTTCACATTCTTCTAATTGGGTTTTAAAAATATGGATTTATTTATAGTAAAATGGTAATATAATTTTTGGTAACCAATTTGTCAGAATTA